TTTTGAGTCTCGGGATGTGGTGTTATATACATATATTGGGCCGGTGGTATGAGGGTGTGGTGTTGTGTGTATATGCCAAATGGCAATCAATATGCGGAAGAGGGTCGGCGTGTCGGTTTGTGGGTAAAGGCCTAGTTTCCAGTTTCCTTTTGTGCACCCCCTCCCCATCCCATTCCACAAACGACCACGGGAGAGTTATCTTCGAAACGAGATTCCCATTCAATTTCGTTTCCATTACGCCGGGCAGCGGACACTGTGCGGTCCACACCGCTTCCATACTTGAGCCATCCCCACATCCTGCCGCCCGAACAGCTATCGGCCATCTGATTAATTATTTTCACCGTTCCACACCTATTTCTAAAGCCACCAAAAACCATTATGTCTGTTGATGCATTTTCCGCAGTTTTGGTCATGTATGCGACAAAAGGCGAGGTACTGGACGACACGAGAAGAAACGTTATAACTGACTTAACACTTATCATCGGTCACGACGAACTGCTGCTCATCCGGACTCGTTGGCTATACAAATTGTAGAACTTAGCCATATGCCGGCAAGAATTTCACGAGGACGTATGAATGCCGTCTTAGAGAAGGATTTTAATTACGACATAATAACAACTATATTACTCCGAAAGTATATGAAAACCATGCCATTTTTTCTCTTTTTTATTTATTTAATTTTTTTTCTTTTTATATATATAATTCATAAATTGTACACGTTATGACGTATGTTATATATATATTATACATACGTATACATAAAAATATAGCATCAATAAAACTTCTAAATATGGGTAATCAATCACATTGTCTTGTTAAATTTTCTTTTTACACTTGGTTATAATTAATAAGTATATAAAAGCATACGCTATAGATGTGCACACATTAAATTTAAAAAATATTAAATTGTTTAATCAAATAAAAAAAATAATGGCATGCAATTAATTTTATGTGGCGGAAACAAACGCTCACATTTGATGTATCACGCGCATTTTTCGGACAACGTATTTTTGTTATTTAAAAATAAACGGTTTAATCATATTTATAATGATTTTACTTCAAAAAAAAAAAAAAAAAACATCGTCCATGTTCATTATAAATATTTTTACAACAAAATAAATGCAGTTTTATTCTTCTCATAAAAATAAATTTAGATTCAAGTAGGTAGTAAAGCGCAATGTTAAAAATGATCATTTTTACAAATTATAAGAATTATAATTAATCATACCCATAATAATTATATTAATATAAATCCGATTAATTCATTTTGTAAATATAAATAAAATGAAAGAAGTTACTTAATCTCAATTTAATATTTTTTTTATGATTAACTATAAGTGTTTATGTATCCAGATAATTATAGTAATTTTATTATTTAATTTTTTTTTTTTTATCAATCATCTACATCAGTAGTTACTTCTATATTTTTACCATATCATTTCGATTTGAGGCATACCTAATAACTATTAAACACGTGTATCAACCGTATACATATCATAAGTATAAAAATCAAATAAAAATTTTTTAAAGCAGCAATACTAAACGTGATTAAATAAACAAACATCTGTACGCGTGCATCAGCGTTTAGGCATAAACTAGAATAATATGCAATGTGCGCATTTTTTATCATTGGTGCCAATAACCTTTCAGTTCCGGGATATTTTAAATTGTTTAATGGTCTTTTTCGTTTAACTAATTTGTGTTTAGATTATTCGAATTCTCTATTTTTTTTTTTTTTTTTTTTTTTTTTTTTTTTATCATCACATGAAATATTTATGAAATCATTACCGTTTAGCACTTTTAAGCACAATAATTGTTTATTGCGTTATTTTGTTTACTCGTGTACAAATTTACGATACTGTGGTACAATACCATTAAAATTTGTTTGGAAACCGTTTAACAAAAATAATTACAGTAATATGAATATGTACCTAACTGATAGTAAACAGTGAACTTTGTTTTCAATCGAACTACGCGTATTTTCAGTTTTGTTAAAATTTGGTGTAGACAAACATAATATTTAATAAGCACATTCTGCGCTCTAGACACTATATACACATGCATAAATTATAAAGTTTGGCTAGATATATTTAAAAGTAGAACGTTTGTTATGATCTACAGACTCAATAACTGAATACGAACTAAAACAATTTCGTTTTCAAACTGTGCGACCGGATATTTTTTTTTTCTTCGCCGTCTTTATGAGTTTAGACCACGTGCTGTGTGGGGGCGCCTACCAACTGAAATAGCCGCGACATCACAAACGGACGTCACGGTCTGTGTAATCATATCTATCAGTTTATTTCTGTCATCGCCGTCACTATACGTCGAGAGGCCTTCAAATAAAGTCCACATCGTTTTGTTTCCCGCGTGTGTCTCTCAAAGGTGTGTACTTGTCTGCATTTGTGCGTCTGTGATGGTACGCCTTTGTAATGTATAATTATGACGTTAATGATATTGTTAAATGGCGTATAATATGCGTTCGTACAGTTTATGATTGTTGTAGATTTCAAACGTACACACTACACATCACAAACACATGTACGCTATCATAATATCACACAGAGAACGTTATAAAAATATAAATATCCCAAGTGTGATTCCTTTAAAATACATACGATGTGCAGATGCTTTAAAATAATTTTTTTTAGGAATAATTACTTGAAATCATTTATTGAACTATTTCCGGGAAAATAACATTTTTGAGTAACACACTCAATGTATAAATAACTAGGAATGATGTTTAATTGACATAATAATATGTTAGGTATATTATAGTATGTATTTTTGAATGTAAGTATGGTATTTTTGAATAAACTCTAATTGCATACTGTAAAACATGTTATTGGATGATTTTTATGTGAAATATTTTAATTAAATTTGTGATAATTTCGTATCAGACTAAATTTATAATAAGTTATGTTTAAAGTAAAATACGTATATGAAAATTAAAATACATGGTTTTTCTAGTAATTTCCACTTGTTATAATATAGCTATAGAAAAATAATAATGTAAATTTATGAACCGGTCTAACTTTATATAACTTAAAATATATAAAAATTAAATATTTATAGATATACATAATTAAACGGTTTATATTTTACTATTTATATAGGTATTAAATGTATTAAATATTTAGAAGTTAGCACGTTTTATTTTAAAAATATTTTTATTTTTTAGTGTCTTATATTTTAACATTAGCTATTAAAACTATGATTTAATTTGATATTGTCTTAAGAATTTCTAAATATTATTTGTTCAATAAATAAGCTATAATAATTTTGACACAATTGATATTTGTAATCATAATAATACATAGAAATATAAACCTAAACATCTATTTATTTATATACTATTTGAATACCAACATGTATCTTAAATATTAAAAATTCAAAAATAAAAACAAAAAGTATTTTTATTTTTTTTTTTTCATTAAATAACTAAAGGAAATATTGAATCAAATTAAAGTATTCTTAAATAATAATAATAAAAGGTTGTAAAACCCCAAAAACAAATGAATTATTAAAATATAATATAATACAATAAAAAATACTGTAATTAATTTAATACTTTTAATACTTAATGAATTAAGTACAAAACATTATATATATACTTGAATCATTGATCACTGTAGGAAATGAGTACCAACTTAAACAATTTATCTTACGATATACCAATTAAAATTATATATAATATCTATTAAGTATTTCTAATATCACCATTATTTAAAAGTGAACTTGATCCAAAAAATAAAATAATATAGCTATCAATGCATATTTTTAAAGTTTAATTCAATAATTTTTACAAGCTCTTAATATGGCGGAAACAAAACAAAAAAGTGATTAGAAAAATTAAAATTAAATCCATGTTTTAAACTTACGAAAATGCATAAACTTATTTAAATTTTTAGTTTAAGTATATATTATTTTACAGAACTTTATAGCCAAAAATGTTTTTGCTGAAACATTATAGGATTATAAGATTGTAATCTTTTACGTTCACAAACACGAAATAAGAATTCCTTTTAAGAACACGCCTGGTGCATTAAAATAATGATATTAATAATAGTAAAAAACAGAGAAGGAACATATAGAGAAAGCAGTTAAATTTTTCTTAATTCTATAGAGGTCTCAGAAAGCAAAGGGTCATATGCACCATACTATCTTAGTTATTCGCCACTTAAATAATAATAACATCAATAGAAAAACATCGAGTTTGGTTAATTTTTTTCTTGATATTATGAATTATGTTTTATTTTAAATTAATTCGTCGAATTAATAGAGGCGTATCGTAAACTAGACGATCAATCTTTTTTTTTTTTTTTTAACTTTATAGGTCTTTGTAAAACGGAATATTTTTATACCCATATAACTTATACAATGTTTGTATTGTTAAATTTATTGAGGTAGGTTGTAATATTATTATTATAATATGTTTAATTAAACGTGTTTGTTATTCATTAATTTATTACTTGTTGCCCGATACCTACGTTTACTAAGGTATAACATAATATCCTATAATTATGCTATTGTAAGGTACCTAATTATTGTTTTAAATATTCGTTAATAAAATATCTATGTTTTTTTATACTGTAAAATACTTATATATGAAATAATTAATATAATTAATATATATATATTATGTAAATACCTTAAATATAAAATTTTATTTTATAAACAATATAAAAATAATAATAATATGCGTATATTACGTGTTGTTTAATTCGTTTTAAAATGAATATCGAATATTTGTCATCCAAATTGACGACATTTCAATTATTTGAATTTTTATTTACTTTAATATTATGTATGAAATTTTATATTTCTTAAGCAGGTTTAATAATTCGTTAATACCAACGATATTTTTCAAATTCTACACAACATTAAAGGTAATATTATATGACATAATAATATCGAACTACGTAATATATATATTGTGCACAAGCAGCCGCAGCAACATTACCACCCGATGTCTGGTATTCGTTCGTATAGAAACTGACCTGTGTTATGGTGGCGTTTATGGCGCTGAGGCCGTTTCCATCCAGTGCGAAACCGGTTTCAGGTTCGCGACCAACAGTCGGGGTCCCAACCGCGTCCTCATAGGTGTGCACACAAGGCGAACACGAAATTGTTCGTACCGACGGTATTCGAAACCAACTTTCCGGTACCGATCGCGTCGTCCGAATGAAAACAATAACTACCCGAAACAATAATAGACCGGCGGACACACTTTCAAAAGTTTAATTTTGTTTTCCCGCGAAACAACGACACGGCGTACTGTTGTCGGCCCCGACTATCCGATAACAACGGCGGTGTTGTATTGTTAAACTCGGATTACGCAGTCGTGTATGGCTTATGGTATACCTTTAATGGTGGTAGTCAGAGTAGTGATAGTGACATTAGACATTGGTATAATAACAGTATTGGTAGTGGTAATTATAATGTGGTGGTGATGGTGTCAGAGTATAGTCGTAAACTATAATATTATCGTGATAACACAATATTGACGATAACGATAGGTAGTAGAAAAAAAAAAAAAAAAAAAAAAAACGAAAACGAAAAAAAAAAAAGAAACCAAAAAGAAACAAGAAAAAAAAAAAAAAAAAAAAAATTAACTCCGCGACAGACGGTGAAAACCAGACAGGCGTGTATAATTTAGTAGACGAAATCGTCCTGAGGAAATCTCCTGACGGGGGCCAGTGAGGTGCGCGACTGCGATGGCGTTTGGATGCGCGTGCTCGGCGAATGGCAGAGAGAATGGTCGCCAGGCTCGCGCCGACAACTGTCTCGGGCGCGTCGTCGGCGCGCGTTCGCCGTGGCCACGACGAGCGCGAGGATGCGCCTTAAGTCGGTCTAGCGGTGCGACCGCTGGCTGCGTGCCACCCCGCCAGCCCTTCGTCGCCGTCGCCATCCCCGACCCGCGGAATAATGGCGCGAGGATTTTGGCGGCGGTGGTGTCTTCCGGGAAGACGCGTGTGGGGTGCAGATGGCGCGCGCAGCAGGTGGCGGGGCGGGCGGCGGACCCGGCGAGGAGGAGAGACGTGAAAAATAATAATAAATACACATGTGCGTACACGCACGCTATTATAATATGTTGTAATTTTATAAGTATGCATGTAGTATTATTATTGTATGTAGATTGTGCGCGCGGTGGTGACGTCGTGGGGATCGACTGACGCGCTCGTGCTCCGATGGCATGCCACGGCTATCACTACGACAGAAAACGTTTGTCGTCTCGTTGCGTAACGTTTGCCGAACTCGTCCGTCACTAAGCCAAAGCCACTGTAATATATTTCCTGGTTTTATTATACATTTCGTTGCGTCGTCGACGGTATTAAACGCCGAATAAAAACGGCGCACGAACACGCGTATAATGTACCTACACCCGCATAATGTTTTACCGAACAGCCGGATCACCGTCTTTCTAGTCTTCTCAACTTTCCGGTCAAGAAGAATTGCGTATACCTAACACGTTGCAACTGCGACCCATCGGGTTGTCCCTATGAGTAATGGCTTCCGAATTGATAAATAGTGACTGCGGTCAACACGTTCACGTCGGAGACCGAAATTCGTTCCGAGGACCGTCGGTGTATGTGAGCGGACATTCGTTTACCTGTTTCACTTAAAACGCATATTTTGCAAGTCCAATGTTTTTATCGTTACGTTATTCAACTGTATAGAAAATCGCGACGTTCCAAAACGTTTCTATATGAGATGTCCGACATCAACGTACTTCAAAAACACATGTACAGTCTTTGAATGCATCTCGTACGCATGAATATAATAACTGTAATCACTATCGTTCTATACGTAGAATTTCACTTATACTTACCAGTTACCTACGTATGCGCAACACTTGATACTGGGTGACGTAGAAAATATAGATGTTCTACTGCATTCGGTCTTCGTCTGTGAATGTATATTCTCAGCGATTGCAGAATAATAACTATTATAAAATGTTGTGAAAACTTCTCGTAGGTGTTTATAGACGTGTTGTCTAGTGAAATGGGATGGGGGAAGAGTAGCAAAATATGGATTAATACGATTAGTTAGTACTTAAAAGCTGTGATTATAAATATCTAACGACAAGACAATGGGTCAGCAGTAGAGTTAATCTCGACATCCGTCCGACTACAATATTAATTCCGTTATTGACGAAATTGATGAAACGGTTAAACCTATCACCATTATCTTCCCGTTTTGACTTATACTATACCTTCACATGTATCACCAAGACTTTAAATGACTTGAACTTTGATGCTTACAATACGCTGGCCATCTTTCATCGATTATCACGAAGACTGTTGCTTGAACGCCGCGCTCGGATATAATTTAATAGGTTGGACGGGATATACAGAACAACCCGCTTTACAATAATATTATTATAACTGGGAGAATGTGCTTCGTTTCAGGGTATTTGATTGTTTGCTGGGGACTTAAATGTGTTCTGATAGAAATTGTATTTCTTTAGAAACCTTTCTGTCCTAATCAAACATGATTACATTATTTTACAATAAATGGAAAATCGGTACAACAATCAACTCGTATTATTTTTGTAGGATATTTACGACGCAGTATATATAGGTATATATATATTATGACTTACTGTAGATATATTGTTATAAGTTTTATTGTTCGAATTATATTATGATAAGTAGATAAACTAAATTAAACGTGATTTATTTTTATTTTTTATTTGATGTATTTTTTTCAAATAAAATGTAACAATATATCAATTCTATAACATTAAAAATTAATTATAACAAATGATACAGACCTTAAATAAAAAGAGTATTTATCTTCACCATTTATAAAAAATAATCATAATAATAATACAGCTATATCATATGTATTTAGTAACTATACATGATTTTTAATACAGAACTTGGATTACTAATAATTATTTTAAATATTTGTTTATTTACTCTTCATGTATATAATGGGTATCTATGATAAATTAACGAATAATACATTTTTAAGTCTCCACGTTTTATACTTACTTATGTACTATGTACTATAATTCACTATTATTTCTTGACAAGTTTAATTTGAACTTAGTTTTCAATATATAAACAAAATATTTGTATTTTTTTTTTTTTTTAATTTGTGACCGAAAAATACCAAATAAATAACACAACAGCATAAAATCAATAATCTACTCATCTCAGTATCCAAAATAACCTTTCACATTTTAAATTGTATAAAATAAAAACTTGAGTAAATTAAGCTATATATTAAATCATATCTGAATCAAACGAAAGATTTAGTTTGATTCACATAAATATTATGCATTTTTTTTCTTTTACTCGGAGAAATTAAACGAATAAATATTGATCTATTTGGGGGTAATGGGTCTACGGAGACCAATTGTCCCAGATTTTGGTTCCCAGAGGGGTTTCCGGAACCTTCTGATCTGTAGTTATATACGGGAGACATTCTTCCTTTTACTCGGAACAATAGGCGAAGTCAATGGCTTCTCTGCAAGTAGCGCAATGTATTTGAAATCCACACTGTTCAGCTCCTTTTGAAATCTCAACGCAGTTAATGTCTTGACTAAAATATAGAAAAAATACCCGTTTTGTTAGCCCTATACACTATATATTGTGTAAAAAAAAAATTACGACTATTTTTGGCAACTCATACAATGTTATGACATTAATAAACATGACAAAATAAAATAATTATTTTCCAAACAATGTATATTTTGAGTTTTTTGCGTCTTAAAAAATACATTAAATATTAGACATTGATTGAAATTTTGCTTGTGTAAGAGAACAAATGAAAATTAAAAAAAAAATGTATCCCAAACTATATATAATTTATGGAGACTAAAATATGAGCGTTCACCTTATTTCTACTACAATTGACAATATTTAGAATAGTGTATGGTTAACCTTGTATTATATTTTTAGGTCATACAAACGATTTCAGTAGTTTAGTACTAAAAAAAATAATAACGATTTATCAAACTTTTGTATTACCCAATGTTGAGCTTAAAATAAAAATAACTAGATAATAAACCTATACCTACTGTTATACTTTTATTTCAAGTTTTAGAAATGTTTTTTTTATTATTATTACGAATACGAATTTTATTAATAGAAAGTTTTTACACATCAATAAACACGAAAAATATAAAGTAGGTACACACAAACGCTAATATTATAAATATATTGTCATGTATTTGTATAATTGTTCATAATATTATCTATTTGTAAATGAGTAAGTACATTGAATGTAGGAATTAATGATGATTTATAAATTTTGTTTTGAGTCTTGATTTTGTACTTCGCTATTCCGCAATAAGGATAATTATTTGTGTTCCATTTTAACGTTTTACTTGTTTTTGAGAACTGAAATTTTCAAAAAATATTTACTTCATTATTTTTTATGTTTTAGAATTTATTAAAAATACCAAGAAAAATGGTTATCATGATCGATAAAAATATACAATATGTGAAAACTAAATATATCGCTTTTTTACTACTTATGTAGTTACAGAAATTCTTAGAAGCACATTTTAAATATAAGCTTTAGATTAGGAAATATTTGTTGAATTCTTATTATCCTTGAGATAAGTTTTTTATTATTAGTTACAAAAAAGTAACTCAGTTAAATTATGCTAATTATATCATTTTTAAATTATTTAAAAAAACAAAACAGTAAGTTATTAAAAATTAATTGTAGATTTAAATTTTTTTTTCGTTGATCTTTAAACGAGTAACTATATTATTTATAGAAAAAAAAAAAATATTAAAATGTATTTGTTTAGGCAAATGAAAAATAAAGAATGTTCAAACTCTGTTGATTACAGTAGGTATGTATTTAAAGTGTATGAAATTATTAATCCATTACTCCATGGATTTTTGTAAGCACTCCTGGTTCGTAATCTGTATTTTGAATAAGAACTTTAAGCCTGTTGATAAGTCAGACGTTATTTTGGACTGTATTGTACCTAATTTACCTACACCGAGTGCCAGGAGATTATTATTATTTATATCCTAAACGTGTGTAATAGACAGATAGGCTATCTGGACGGCATCCAACAATCGCATTTTTTCAAACAAATCAAACAC